TTTCCCTCTGACATCTAAAAATTCATCTCCAACTTGCAATTCAGAAAACATATTTTGGTGAACTGCTTAATGTTTTCTGACATCAGGTGATCTGTCTCTACAGCAACACAGTGACCGTGGCTCACAGGAAAACTGCTAGTCCAAGTCAATGAGAGAGGCTAGGAGTACAGAGGTGTTCTATTACAAGTTAAGAAGTTACCATTTAAGTCTTCAGGGTAACACAAAGATTTTAAAAAATAGTGGTTTAATGAACCTAAGTAATTTTATTGCAGATTCTTCTCACTCAACATCTAAGAGAGTTTTACTAGTATACTGTAAATCTTCCTATTTATCAAATGATATCCTTACTTAATACAAAATACTATCTCTTTATGGTTTCCCTGCTGTGTCATATGTAAAATATCTTAGCAGGACAGAAGGAAAACATGTCAGTTTTTAATATAAAACCAGCCCATTTTCTAATGGAGATAAGTCATGAAAAAAATGAGATAAAATAAATACCATTTAACAAACATTTTAATCTCCCACAGATTCATTTTGTATTACTATTTGGCAATATTTTTTCTGTTGCTCTTCCTTGAAAGACTCTTTGATCTTCTTCCTTTTCAGTCCCCCATCCCTGAAAGATACAGAAAAGAAACAGCCTTCAGCTCACTTCAGGGTCAAGGCAGAAAAACTTTACAATATTTACACCACATAATCAAAGCAGTTTTCACCCTAAATGTTGTCTTTTGCAATACAATGCTACATGATCTGTACTGCCAAGACTTACCACACTACACAAACAATGCCTTTCCTTTAACCCAGCATTTAACAGGCAAATAATTTATTTTCACCAAATACTAGCTGCTGGCTAGGTCCACCTGTCAAGCTCTGTTTCTCTTTTTATACTATATTATTATATTTATTCTAGTGGAACTGCTCAAGGAATAAAGTAATATTTTCTGATTCAGAGTCAGTAAGGATGATGGACTACAGCGCAAGGAAAGCAGACCTGGAAGAAGTTTTAAAAGATTCCAATCTAACCTTTCAGAATACAGACACCTAAATATGCTTTAAACGCAGCCTCAAAGGTGTTGCTTCTTACCAAGGAAGGACAGACATTCCTCCCTGAGCAGCAATCACAGCCTTGACTCTGTTGGCAAAATGAACAGCGTCTTCTTGTTCCTGAAAAAAACAAAACAAAACAAAACCCACCCCACAACAAATGAATGTTTTGCTTTACAACTTAAACATTTTCTCCATCTCTCACTTAGAGAGATATTTTCAGATAGCAGGCCCACAAGCCAAATGTGACCCGCAGAGCAGTTCCAGCCTGTCCTGGGGAACACTGCCTGGTTTGACACTATTCCGTGCCTAAAAGAACTAAGTGTGAGGTTCTGTAGTTTCTGAAGCAAATCTGAAACAATACACAGTGTGAGGTCACAGGTCTGGCCAGAGCAGGGGATGCATCTGCTCCCAGTACTTCAGTATCAGTCTGAAGCCGGGAATACACCCACAGGATCACCCTTAGAGGAGATGGGGTGCCTTGAACAGGATTGGGGCCTAGTGCATTCATGATCAGTGAATTATTGCAAGTTCACAGGAGTCTGTTTGCCTGAACCACAGAGGACTGAAGACACATGCATTACAGCAGCTTTCCTGCCAAGACTAGGGCTGAGCAGAGTAGACAGTAAGAAACTGGGGCATTGCTGGAGCAAAGGCCTGGATCACTTTGTCAGCATCAAGTTGACATCCAGGGGCAGTGGACTGAGAGGCTGTGCGAAGCTGTGGAGTAAAGCTGCTGAACAAAGGATTAGCTGGATATTCTGCAGGGCTGAGAAACAAGGTGGGAGGAAGCTATGCAGATGGAGGTAGAGGGCAACACAGAAGGCAGAAGCACCCCAGCATGGAGTGAAGAAGAGGTCTAAATCTATCTATCCCTTCTGGAGTAAAAAAGGGAGGTCTGTACCAGGCTGAGGGGCAGGACTCCTGCAGCATAAAACCATGTTTTAACATCTCTTCTAGTCTGCAGGAGCAGAGGAAAGCAGGACAGCTGCATCCAAGTAAAGAATCTGTTTGGGAGCAATAGGGAGCATGGCGCAGAAATGTCTAAATATCTGCAAGAGCAGTTTTTACTTGAAGATAACTAACCCACATAAAACCATGCTCGCTTAATTTTAAGACTACAGTGTTGCTTTCTGGCCTGTCCATGAAGTTGTCAATAAAGATTCAGAAACATAATGCCAACACACCATGTGTAGTAATGCAGACTTCCTCCCAGACAAGATTTTATGAGCATTTTAAAAACACAGGGAAGCGTACGTACCTCTTTGACCATTGGTGGCAGGTACCACACATTACAGACAATAGCCCAGCTGGTCATCATATTAAAAATATAGGTCATCATGGAATACTTTGTGCTGTTCCAGAATGCATCTCCAAAGCGGGGGTCATACTGGAAGACAAGAAGAATAAGTGCAAGGGCATGATCTGCTACCTTATTCTAAATCACATAAGCTGCTTGTTTTTGGCCACGAAGTCACAGTTCAACTTATTAAATCAGGAGCAAATCTAATCACACCTCCTAAAAGCAGCAGTAAAATCAGAGTAAATCTCCACATTTCAGTATTTATTACAAGTTTGTAACTGTTAACCTTTACAAGCAACACAAGACCCCAAACTGTGACAGACCCATTGAAACACATCTCAGCTGTAACAAGATCGATCTGCTCAAAAGGACTTGTCATCTACAGACACGCTGACTACAAAGGTTTACTTGAAAAGGCTTACACCAGCTTTAACAATTTCCATATGATTTGGCAACATTATACTTTCAGAAAAAGTAACTAACATATCTGGAGCTAGGGCAACTTGCCTAAAGCTACTCAGAAAGCCTTGGAAGTCCCAAGAAAAGCGCCTTTATCCCCAGAGCACACAAGAGCCAGGAGCCCTATGACAGAAAGAGCACACAGAAGTGAACACGCAGCACAGCAATTGCAACTGTGCTTTTCAGGTTGCTTCTAACCTGTTGTAAAGATACTCATTTCCCATACCACACTGAACTGCAAGATATTGCGCACCATGAAAAGATTCCATTTTCTCAGGTTTTATTCAGTACCTTATTCACACAGAACAAAACCCTTTTTAAGGTTTACACATGAACAGGTTTTCTGACATGAGAAACTTCTGCAAATAATCCTTCCATGCTTGGAAAACTGCAGATACATTACCTTGATTGCTACCGGATGGATGGTCCCTCCTACCTCAAAGCTTCCCTTCTTAAACATCATTACTGTTGTGTTGTTTATGCAGGTACCTGGCCAGAATTAAAACAGATGAAGAGTTTAATCCACTCTAAGAAAAGTATCAGCAAATGAATCCTAAACTGTCTTAAGGAGACTGAAGTTGCTAAAGGAGAAAGTAAGCTTTAGTTCTGAAACATAACCCCAGAGCCTACTCTCTTCCATTGTGCTACACACTAACACAAACAGACTGTCATAAAACTGTTGTAAAATACTAGAATCTGACTTATTTTAATATCTCACAAGAGCTAATTAATTCTACAGACTAAAACCAAACACCTCACCTGTAAAGATTGAATATAATAAACTGTACTCAGTGGTAAGAAGCGAGAAGAGCAATAAAATCAATATAGTTGTTTCCTACCTTCTGGGAAAATTAAAATGGGTAATTTGGCCTTATCTGCAATGTGTTCTCTAATTCTGTGGAGAGAAAATAGAATTTCAGTGTGTACTTCACATTTGTATTTGGCCAAGAATCTAAGTATCCATTACTTTTACGCAGGACAAGAAAAGCACTTGCCCAATTGCCCTTTGCCAGTCACTAACCTCAGTCAGGATGTGCACTAGTTTCAGGCCTTTATCTTAGAGGTTCTCTCTTGCTAATTGCAAAAATAGGTTTTCTGCAAAACTGTATGCAGTTTTATTTCACCATTTTAACCCAATTAACATGAAGCTGAGAGAACAGTGCTACTTGAAGCATGTAAAAATCGCTTCCCATTTGTCTTTGACAGGTTCCAGCTGTGAACACAGTTGAACATTTCTTTTGACTGAAGTATATTCCATATTTCAAGTTTTCATGCCTTGTAGGTTCATAACATTAGTTTTCTATTTATCTAATAATTCTCCATATCTCGTTAAGAGTTCAGAGCTGATGAAAAATGTACTAGGGCAAGGCATGATCTGGGAAACAAATGTGCTAACAGAACTCTGATTTCTGTCCTGACATCCTGAACCATCAGCCTCGAAACTGAATAAACAGGCTTCTGCCTGTGGCAACACGGAAATTCTCAGAGGTTACGGGGCAAACAATCAAAAATTCAGTAGATGATTGCTATACTCTGCACCTTCATTGATGGAGCAGTTCCAAATCTTACACTGATGACAAGCTACAACTGCCCATCAAAGAGAGATGCAGGGTGAGAACACAGTCTCAGCTCACGCTTGGACCTTCACAATTACTAGAAATGATGTGACAATTCAGCAAACACCTCACTGCCTTACTTTTTCCTCACCAGATGACGGTCTTTCATTTCTGAGCGCTCAAACAAAACATGCCGACTGGTTTGCATGCAAGATTTTTGAATAAGCCCCAGAAGCCCTCCATGCGCCTGGCCAACCTGCAAGCCCAAAATAAACTGGTTACTATGGAAAAACTCACATTTAAATGACAGAATTCTGAATACAGATGCATCAGTTTCTAAGCTCATTGACAAATGATACCAATCCTTTTGGTCAAAAGTGTGCACACACCTGCCTGCATCTATTATTTTGCAGTCCTGAATGTGAGTTTGAATGCTACCAAATCCCACTCTTTCTACCAGTAAGTTTATCATCTTACCCAACACTTCATCCGTGGGCATCTCAACACTACCAATATTTACTAACTCTCTTGTTCATACCAAGGAATAGCATCCATCACTGGCCAGGATTAGAACATCTAATGGAGATGTGTGGTTGGCTACACAGATGCCTCCTTCCTGCGGTCTGTTTTCCCTGCAATGACAATGGTAAAACTAATTATCTAGTGTTTATTCTCCAGACTACAGCCCCATCAGGTGACCCATCCAGTGAACTTACATCCACAATTAAGACTCTCAGTGACAAAAGCATTTCAGACACAACTTATCTGCAGATCCATAGGAAGTGGAAGAACAAAAATAATTTTGAAGTACTAATATTACTATGATATATGTTAAAACTTCTCACAGTACATTACAGCAGATAAGTCATCTTCGCTCATACTTCCAAGAGTCCCTTCACACTTCAGTAGTTTTTCACCAAAACCAGTTTCTTTTCAGCTGAGAATAAGACTTAATTGGAGTAGGTATTTTAGCTGTATACATTACCATTCATGTAGGTATATATCAAAAAATATTTGGACACTAAGACTCTAAAAGCAAACACTAGAGCACGATTTTGCTTGTTTTCTAAAGCACAAAGATAAAATATTTCAGAAGCCTCCATTACATAAAGCTCCACCACTAAGCAAGCAAGATATTACAGAAACTTACTGAAATACCATCCATAACTTACTTTAGAAGACAGTGTGAAGAGTTAGTTACCAAACAAATTAGCTAATAGAACAGCTGAAGACTTTATGGCAATGTCCTTGCACGTGATTATAACACATGCATGGCAAACATGGAAAAAATGTCCAAGTATATATTTTACTAAGAACACAGTAATACTTCATCTTCGCTTACCCTGCCAATACACAACAGAAAACTCAGTAGGACATGCAAACACCTTGACAGAGTCTAGATGATCCAAATAGCCTCTCGGATCACATTGCACCGTCATAGTGTCTGTGCAGTAATGGACTAAGAATCCTACTCCGAAACTTGAGAAATTGAGTACTGTAAGAAATCAAAATCAAGCTAATGAAAGCAGGGTGGAACCACTCACCTGTTATGGAAATGAACAAGACCACCCAGACATCGGACACCTAATGTGGCGCATATCATCTGAACCTGGTTGCTCAGCCAGCATTTAACTCTAAAAGAAATGAAGCCATACATATGTTTCCAGTTCTACGTAGTCACTCATAGAACAATATAACGTAAACTCCCCAAATTATTTTCAATAGCTGCTATCACAAAGACCCTATGTCATGGTTTAACCCAGCAGCCAGCAACTAAGCACTAGACAGCCACTTCCTCACCTCTCCCCTTCACCCCCAAGCAAGATGAGGAGGAGAAACGGACAAAAGGGCAAACTCATGGCTTGAGATAAAGACCGTTCAATAAGACAAAAGAAACACTACTACTACTAATTATAATGATGAATACGCAAAACAAGTTATACCAAATACAATTTTCTCGCCACCCAATGACTGATTTGCAGCCTTGCCCCGAGCAAGGATTGCAGAACCCAGCACTCACAAATTTTGCAAAACCCAAAAAAGACCAAACTCCCAGAAAAGAGAGGATTCGAACTCATGGAAAAGAGAAAGATTCCTCCCCCTGGCCAACCCCTATTTATAAACTCAGCATGACATCTACGGTATGGAATATTTCCATTGCCAGCTTGGGCTAGCTGTCTATGCTCCCTCCCAGCTCCTGCACATCTGCTCATTCGCTGAATATGGGACAAGAGAAAAAGTCCTTGATTTCTTAGCAACAACTAAAAACCTTCAATATTATCAACATTCTTCTTGTTCTAAAGCCAAGCCACAGCAGCTACTGGGATGGAAATTAACTCTATCCCAGCTGAAACCAGGACACCATAAAAAGCTGATGCATTGCACTAACAATGCTATGCAGGAAGAGCTTATCAGGTATGAAAGATATATTGTTTCATTCTTCTACTGTAATCTATTCTAAATCCTCCAGATTCAAACCAGAGAAGATAACAGTCAGGGGTTTGTTTTATAGATTTGTTTCTGGAAGCAACTGCTATTGACTCATTAACATTAATTTAATATAAAAATATTTGTCTAGTGAAGCATGTTTAATTTTTTTTTGCACTGACAGGACATAACAATCTCACAGTATTAATATGGAATTGCTCAGGACAGATGATTTTATTTGCCCTATTCTGACTGAAGTGCGGCACACTCATCTTCCACTCTAAGACACACTTCCAGCAGTATCTATCGGGATTACATTGCATGTCCACTTTCAGATGCCATTGCCATATTCTCTCTCATAGTGCTTTATGAGCTTACAGTAGAGAAAAAGTCACCCCACAGTATCCCACATTAATCCTCTGGACTCAAGCAGATTTATATCCCAAACACATTAATTTAGATCCTTAAGGAAATAAAAAAGAAATGGAAAGAGGCTTCAGCAAACACCTACCTGCCATTTGGAAACTGTCCTACTACTGTAGTGGTGAAGACCAGCAAGAGGATGTTGAAAACAGCCAAGCAGACGCTACAAAGTAAAATAAACTTCATTAAATGCTAAGCAGCCCAATTGGACGAACAAGCAAGAAAATATTTTTTTAACCCATTAATCCATTTCACAATTCCTCCCTCCACCACTAATAGCATCTAACTAGTAACAGAAACCAGTTAAGGCCAACAGGATAGTATGAGCACATTTTCACTCAATTAATTCTGCACTGACTACAAATATTGTGCTGCCTGGAGCCTGTCTTCCAAAAAACACCATGCCCTGATATGAAGCTGTCATGTGGTAAGGAAGCCATCGTGTTCAAAAAGGATGGCAAGTAGTGGCTAGTGTTCTTTAATGTAGGTGAAATTTCTCAGTGCCAAAAGAGACTCACAATTTCATTTTTAAAAATATATCCAGAAATTTCAGTACATATTTCCACCCCAAGCAGTAAGCTACTACATAATCATGAAAATTAAATGTCATTCGTTACTAATGGCTGAGCAAAACCAATATTGAAGCCATTGCTACATAAATGTGTTCTTCTTAAGCTGCATATGTAAGTTTACACACAGGCGTATGAGCTCTGCTATGCTATTGACTGATATGAAATCTCTCTATGCATTGCAGCTATGTTTTAAATATGCTGTCCTCCCACCAAAGGAATAAGAAATTTTAAAAGCTCCTGCTCTTTACAAGAATGCATGAATATTTGTTAGTTTGGTCAATATGATAAAGGCTAGTTTTGATTAAAATAAAATTTCATAAGTCTGAAAATTTAATACAATCCAAGCGGATGTCTCTTTTTCAGTCCAGCCCTGTGCTCCCTGAACATTGTCTTTGCTTCAAATCCCAAGTATTCAGCATACAGTCTCCCTGTCTCTTAGATGGGTAGAGCCTGATCCTTTCAGTTGGAACAGCTGTTACTTTATGTAACAAAAAAATCTCCAGATCATTTCTATAAAGTTTTGGTGGATTTTAAAAACAAATTAATTACAGAATCACTGAATGCTAGGGGTTAGAAGGGACCTCTGTAGATCATCTAGTCCAACCCTCCCTGCAGGTTCACATAGAGCAGACTTTTATTAGTAATATAACATATGGAACATGAGAAAGGTGTATCTTTAGCATCTTTTTTTCTTTTAGGGATATTTGAGTTTCAGTGGCATCTTGGAAAAGTCATGCCAGGTTCTCCTTTCTGCACTAGTCAATAGAATATTATTAGACATCTTTCATAAAAAGTAATACGAAAAAAAGATCCCAGCAAATTACATCTGGCTTACCGAAAAGGCATCAGGAGACAATACCGAATTAGGATCCCAGTGACCCACACAACTGTCAGCTGCCAGCTGACATGGTGCAAGTTGGCATTGGTTCTGCTGAGGAGATTCCAGGACACCAGCTCCTCAGAGGAGAACCGTCGGGTGACTTCGTCTTCTGCAACTGCCTCACAGCCCTTCTTGGAGAAGTACATAACATCAGCAAGGTTGAAGCATCCATGCCACTGGCCAGCAATCTCCTCTTCCATGGATGTTTCCTCTCTCTGGATGATCCCTGCACAAAGAAATAAGTCTTCATTCTGCACAGTGGAATGTACAATATGGATTCCAAAAAGAGTAATATGCATGTGCTTTTTAGAAATAGCTCTCCTTCTACTCCAAGCACCATGATTGCATTGTTATGCCGTATTTACATACCGGCATTTAGTTCCACAAGTTACTTCTCCAATCTTATACCATATAACACCACTAAATTGTTGAAGAAAGCAGAAAAGCATTCAGAGCAAGGTGCAAATAAAGCCTTGAGCACAATGCCTACTTCATTGTCATTTACAAACAGCGTACACACACACCTAGAAACATCAACAGTGCACTGCCAAGATTGCAGACCCCTCTTGGTGCCTTGTCTCAAATTCAGGCAGTGTTTGTATAGTTGTTCTTGCTGCTGTTGATTAATTTTACTTTTTTGCAGCTTTAACAAACACCTTCTTCTAATATTTTTTCCCCAGAGCCTTCTCTTCCCCTATCCCTTCCCCTTGAAGTTTCTTGGTAGTGAAGTGACTCTTACAAGCGTCTAGATTTTTACCCTGAGATACACCCAGTGTAACACAGAAGCATTGTGCAGGAAGAATAACGTATTCATGCTCCGTATCTGTAAAATTGCACCTCACAGGATGGCCACACAGTAAGTCTCAGTGATGTCTGCTGAGGTCACTCTGAGACCAGATTCTTATCTGGCTGGTCACAGTGACTAAAATTCTATTGATTCATACCAGCTAACACTTGGCTTTTTTGTTTGCAGGTTTGGGGTTGTTGGGGGTGGGGGACAGTATTGGATGACATTAAATATGTCTTATTTAAAATACATTTAATTGATCTTAATCAACATACTACCCCCTGATCAGAATCACAGAACTTTCTTCCAGCTGCACTTCAGTCAAACCTTAAACATCTGGGAAATCATCAGACCTGATATTCATCAGCTGACAAACCAAGCAGTCAAAAAAAAAAAAATTACCCTCTCAGATTTTATCCCCATGCCTAGTGCAAACTGTAGTAGCTGTGATCCATGGGATGGTGTAGCTTCTTTACTTGAGAAACCCTGGGTCTTTGTACACTAGGAGTTGCAAGAAGCAAGAGAGAATCCATACAGATCAATGTCAAGGGCAAAGAATACTCATTCCTCCTGATCTCACGAGGAGAGAGCTGATGGAGTCAGAAAGTACAAAATACTCATGAAAACAGGGACAGCTTCCCAAATGCTTATCAGCAATGTCTTTCTATACCCATACTAGTCTCTAACACCTTCTATTCAGAAGACTCAATCATTCACAGATTACCTTGCTTATAATGTACTTTAGGTCTCTTTTGTAGGTTTGTAACTTTAGCAGTTGTTTGCCCAAACAATTCCATTTTCGCATTCCAGTTTTCTTACATAAGATCAGATGCAATTTATGTTTCTGTTTACTCTTTTCTAGGTAAGATTAAAATAGCGGCCTTTTTACAAAACAAATAGTGCTGTGTCACCTTCATTCAGAGATCTTACCAGTCGAAATTAAATTTTCAAGTGCCAGCGCCTTCCGCTTTTTCACTCCCTCCTCAATCTGCAGGGTGGCCCACTGTTCCCAAAACAAGAAAAGTAGACGTTGATGGTTTTGATTTCATCATTTCCAGGCATTCTGTAATTACCTCAGGTGAATTGTTTGAGCCTCTTTTATTGAAGTCAGGTTTTAGATTTTAATTTTTCAAATTCAGCCTGAAGGTTGTCCTGCATACCACCTGTTTCATTTGTTACACAGATTACCTTTTGCCATTTTCAAGAAAAATTGTTTGGCTCTAACTTCTTTTCAGGACACAGGCAGTTGATTTTTACCCTGGGGCTCCACAAATTACTGAGCTACCTAGGAGACTCTATGAGGTCCATGGGTCCAAATCTCTCTCTTCCCCAGTTAGCTTCAGGCAGTAGAATAACGCAAAACACTATTACTGACATTAGAGACATGCTGGAAAAATAGATCTAAAACTTAATGTCAAAGAATAAAAGAGAGTACCTCAATTTTAGGGCATTCATGCAGTTTCTGTTAACTGAAAACAGAGAAGGGACCATTTTGTATCCATAGCATTTCTGAAGTAGTTTTGGTAATAAGCTTTCAACCCTTCCCTCTCTTTACCTTTTTTGAGCCACACGAAGTTTCTCCTCCCTGTGCAGAGCAGCATAACACTCCTCCCTTAGCAAAATGAAATATACCAATATGCCTAATTTTTGAAGTTTTCATAGTTTTGAATGTTTTCATAGGATGTTTTGGGTTGGAAGGGACCTCATAGATCGTCCAGTTCCAACCCCCCTGCCATGGGGGCAGGGACACGTTCCACCAGACCAGGTTGCTCAAGCCCCCATCCAGCCTGGCTTTGAACGCTTCCAGGGAGGGGGCATCCACAACTTCTCTGGGCAACCTGTTCCAGCATCTCACCACCATCATAGTAAAGAATTTCTTCCTTATATCTAATCTAAATCTACCCTCTTTTAGTTTAAAGCCATTACCCCTTGTCCTGTCACTACATGCCCTTGTAAAAAGTCCCTCTCCAGCTTTCTTGTAGGCCCCCTTCAGGTACTGGAAGGCCACAATAATGTCTCTCTGGAGCCTTCTTGTCTCCAAGCTGAACAACCCCAACTCTCTCAGACTTTTCCTCATAGAGGAGGTATTCTAGCCCTCTGATCATTTTTGTCATCCTCCTTTGGACCCACTCCAACAGCTGCATGTCTTTCCTGTGCTGGACCTATGTTTTCATCATACATATACAGACATATAAATATTAGTTCTCATGAGTACCAGATCTTCTCATATTTATGCCAAGATATCTGCCCTAGCAAAGGCCATAGGATGCTTGTGTGTAGGCTCTGCTCATTATTAAGGAAACAATGACCCAATCAACTTATGTCCTCATCTGCTATTAAGGCTTCCCACCTACAGCAGATAAGGATACATCCTTCTGCTTCAGGATAAACTCTTGCTAAACCGTTTATTTCCCTCTTACTGACATGCGCAGCTATTTAAGTCACCATAAAGCTTGATCTCAAATAGTCTTCACCATGATAAAACATATTGTGTGTGCCAACAACATTGACTAGTTTTTTGCCATCTTTAAGTTTTGTGTGCTCTCTACCAGCTCCTTCTGTAGCTATTGAAGTTTAAGTTAATAACAAAAAAGGGACACTTTATCACAGAGTAATTAGGATATTTTAGTTCTCCTTAGTTGACTTTTTTTACCAGTCATCTTAAAAGAAAAGAGAGAAAGCAGAATAGGCAGTGATGTAATATTTTAAATGCCATGCAAACCATCTGTTATAACACCATAACTACCTCCTTCCCCCCACATGTCACCTTGTCTATATTTTCCAATTAGTCCTTAGGAAAGGTAAACTGATAAATCATCTGTCTCAATCTTTTGCAACACATGGAGAGTCATCCAGAATTGGGGGGCCAGGGGATGTCCTGAAAACAGCATCCCACACACTGAGAAATGAAAGAATATACAGCACAGAAACAAGAATGTTGCAAAAGAAAGTGAAGGCAGACATGTGGAAAGCTTGACCTAGTTAGAATGTACTGCTGGTCCTCACCCCTTCCCCAATATTCTTTAGGATAGTTGTATGGTATGAGGGAGGAAAAGAGTAAAAATATCACCTAGCTTAGCAAATAAAGCCCTTTGCCTTACTGTCTGCTTTCCTGTCTCCTGTCTACCACCATTATCTTGCCTATCGTGGTCCTCCTACATGAACAGGCACCTGCCAGTTGGTAAGCACTGACAGAAATGAGCTTGCTCATACTGTCCTGAAGGATCTGGAATACCTCAGGGAAGCTGGCTTTTGAATCCCAGGTAGAAAAAGGGTGATAATCACTGACCAAGCTGACTCCCCAAAATGTTAACTAATTCAAATCAGCAAGACAAGTCAAAATAACAAAAATTTATAAAGTTTACTAGTAAAGTATAAAGTCCTGCCTCACAGCACGGAGAAACAGTGGGACAAAAGTAGCAGCCTGTAATTAAATAGTCAGTCAAGGCTACAAACACAGAGGACAAGGCAGATGAGGAAGTGCTTTCGATAGGTGAACACAGGGCTTGTTAGCTTGGAAAAGGGCTGGTTGAGATGGTGTATGACAGAGGTCTAGAAAGTCTGGACTAGCACAGAGCAGGTGCATAATGAATAGTTATTAGTTTTCCAATACAAGAACTGGGGAGCATCATATGAAAGTGTTGGGCAAGTGTACGAGCAAGAAAAAGGTAATGTATTTCCACAACACAGTTAAGTTGTTGAGTTTTGTCCAGGACATGTTGCCAGAGATCATATGAAATGGGAGCAGTTACATAAAAACACGGATGAAAATCATCATGGGGCACAAAACTCTCCTAACGCATGAATCAGCATGGGACCCAGCAGAGTAGTTTCTAGGTTGTTCTGCATTCAGTGACATCTGTATATTTAATTTGTTTTTAAAATATGAAATAAGGCTTTGTGATTGCCTTTGTTTTGCACAATACTGAGACAGAGCTGTCAAGCTGGTCTTTATTGCAAAACAGTAATGAAAGGATGTTTTAAATACATTACAAAAACACAGATGTTGCAACTAACACCGAATTTAAGTGTTAAATGGAGCAACTTCATTCCTAAGTTTGCTGACCAAATGAGAACTGAGGTGCTGTGCTTTCCTTCCTCCCATTTCTGAAGTGATAAGGACACAAGGAGTCCAAACATCCAGTGGGTGATGGCACCTGGAATACTGAAGACTTGACAGCTTAACTCCAACAGCCCATTTGTTTGAGGCTTCCTATAATTACATTCTGAACATAATAAGGGTGCCTAATACTTCATTATATTACTTACTTTCTTCATAATACATGACATGAAAAGCTACATACTACGGAATGTTAATTTTTTTTAAATTAACTTCTTACGGTTTTTCCTCCCTTTAAGTATAGTTTGGTGCATTGTTCAGTGCTCCATTTTTCACTACTGTATAATAATTCGTTCTGGCCTCTCTTCCTCTGTGCTCCCACATTTTACTATCTCTTCTCCCATGGTCTCACAAAAGCTTTTTCTAATCATTCATTACACTGGCTTTTTTCAATCCCCTTCTCAGCTTTGTTCCCATGTGTGACAAAGGCCTTGGGGCAATTACTCCATTTAAAGTCTTCCGATATAATTACAACGAAAAGGTCAGTAGGTTTTTAGTGCAAGCTAAAATCACCATCTAAGATCAAGCACTTACGGCCTTTTGTCATGGTTTGGCCCCCGGCCGGCAGCAAAGGACCAGGCAGACGCCCTATTGCCCCTCCCCCCACTCGGGTGTGGAGGAGAATGGGAAGAAAAAGACAAAACCCCTGGGTCAGGATAAGGACAGTTTAACAGAATGGCAAAGGAAGCAGACAGTAACAAAAATAATACTGATAAGAAGAATATCCAAAACCAAGGGAATACACAGGGCAACTCTCTCCCACCGCCTGATGCCCGGGGCTCTCCGGAGCCCTGATTCACCTCCCCAGCTCAGCACCCAGCATGACGTCACATGGTATTGACTGTCACATGGTATTGACTACCCCGTTTGTTTGGCCAGTTTGAGTCAGCCGTCCAGGCTGTGTCCCCTCCTGGCTTCTTGTGAAAATTAACCCTGTCCCAGCAGAACCCAGGACACCTTTCCATCCAACAGTCCTTTCTGGCCAGTCTCATTTCTCTTTCATGTCCCAAACAAGATCCCAGATTAAATGATCTGCATGTTACACAGCAGGGTGAGAGGATGCACAAGAAGTGGCTGTCCACAATAGGACAATGAAAAGCACTCAAAAATCTCCTGGCTGTCTAGTGAGGGCAGATGAAATAGGTTGAGAAGGGTCCCAAACATTTTTTTGGAATAAAAACACAAGTACAACTTCTTTGTTTTTTGACACAGTGGCTAAAACAGGGCAACCATGTACTTGAAAGCATAGCAGAGAGCTTCTTCCACTAGCTTAAGTGTCTGCAGCATCTGCCTATGCTCGAGTGTGAGTTTACAGCACATTAGCTACCTTCATGTACAAGCGAGCTGTCAATTCAAAGAAGATCCACAATTACTAGCTAGCTGCTGTCTTTCCTACACATGAGTATTTCTCAAGAAACAACAATACTCCAATTTCACACAGAAGCTCAGATCTCAAAATTGCTGAAGATTCTTAGCAAATCTGTTTAACATGTTTATTTGACTCTCCACAGTGTCGTAAAATAGGGTGCATGATGTAGCCCCCCTCTACATCATGTGATGTATAAGAATGAGAAGGAACTTCAGAAAGATTAAGCAGAAGCAAAGGACTGACTATCAGAGGCCTCAGGCAAGAATACACCCAAGGACATATCACTAGCACACCCTAAACCAGTGCAAATAAACCAGCAGACACGAAGATGAGGAAACTGAGAAATCCACAAACTGCTTAACAAGCCAACTCATGACCATATGTGGAAGGAAAGACACAGAATTCATGGAAAGGACACTAACAGACACCTCTTCTACAACCACCAGGGACCACCAGAGACCATTGAGGACCCCATGGAAGCCCCACAGAGATACAGGCTGCACGCGTAATGACTATGCTAATATGATAATTAGTTCCAGGAAATAGAATAAATATGTATGAACATTCCAGGAGACAATGCACATGTATGTAACAGGGTGATATAAACTTGGAGTGAGACAACATACAACATGCACATTAGGTGGAGCGATCCCCCGTGCATCCGGCGCTGTAATAAAGAATGCCTGCTTTTTAATCTACCCTGGCATTAAGAAGTTTTACTCCTGATTTCGGTGACAACAGGAATGGGAGAGCATGGTGTAGATTTCATTCTAGCAAATGCATTTTCTTCTGCTGCTGCAACACTAAAGGGCTGGAATAATGTCCCTAGCACAGGATTGCTAGTATCTTCATTACCAGACAAGCAAATACAAAGATTAGAGAAAACATGTTATTTCATAAATAAAAGCTTACAAGCATATAGGAAAGAATAACCCTATCAGAAACCAAACCAAATTCATATGTATTATTTCCAGAAGTATTTTAAGGATAAATGAATGGTAGTAATAGTAATTATGGCCTCACAGTTATGCAACTGAGAAAGTACTGCCTTGGAGATCTTTTAATATTATACTATCTGTATGTCCTCCAAAAAAAATGCCAAACAAAACAAACAAAAAAGCCCCCAACAACAACAACAACAAAAAAACCCAACCAAATTTTCAAAGCTTGAATCTTGATTTTGTAATGAGGTTTGTTTTGTTTCTAAAAAAAAAGTATTTAGATTCCTCGATGGAGAAGCAGCAAAGGGTATGAATTCTTTCCATACCTAGATCACTCTTTGCCCATTTGTTCTGGTCACTGTTCACTGCTAAAACACTTCAGTGAAGTCAGGACATCAAAATGACTTATCTCACCATATGTCACCATTTCTCATTGCTTAGTAATAGATCTGCAAACTTTGGCTTTATCCTAAAACACCTAGAGCTCCCAGCAAATTCACTAAGGGCTACAGATATGCTTTCCTGGAACCCACAACTTAGAAAAAAAAATACCTTTTGACTTTAAAGTCCTTGATTTCAGTCCCTTTTATTTTTCTTAAATTGACCAAACAGGAGAAAAATAAACCATCTTTTCCCTCTGCCTCCCAATTTGCATAGTCATTAACAGCTACAAGAAGTGAATATAAAGTGTTCTCAGTAAGAAGTTCTCTATTAATTTTGCTGGTCTACATAACAGACTAAATCAAATGCAACACAATGGAGAATCGAGTCAAAGTGCTCGAGGTTGGATTTTTGGTGAAACATCAACCAGTTGTTTGGTACTTCCTAGAGCACAGATATTCCTGCAATATAGTCAGTAGCACGCTAACACATGACTAAGCATCTGCTCTTAGCATTTTCAGCATAGGCATCCTATTTCACCATTCAGGCTAACAACAGGAACCAAGGTCTTTGTGCATTACTCCATTAGCAACATCTTGGGCAGATAATGTCACAGCTAGAAACAAGGGACACTTCATTAGGCTGTCAATGTCAAGTTGTACATGTCTTGAACAAAGAGCGCATATAAGCCTGCTTTAAATCTAACTGTATCCCAAGCAGCCATTTCAGCCACATTCTGGTGAATGAGCCCCAGGACTCCCAAGAACTGGCCCAGCAATTGCATGCAAAAGATTTAACCCAGCATTTCCCAGCCCTGCCCTTACTTCCGAACAGCCAAGTTGGCCACAGCACAAGCAAAGAGGACCTAACATTCCTTCCATCCTCTCTCCCTCCCATTTCCCACCAAGATAGCTCTTAGTTACTCTTTTGGCACAATGAGAAGCATACGAACAATGCTTCAAAGAAAACAGCTGAATTTAATCATAAGATGAAAATTGAGGAAACTCCTTTTTTGCCTACAGGACAGTTAGGGAACATCTTTCAACTAGAGAACAAAACAAGCCAGCCTGAACTCCAGTATATTGAGCTGTGCTCTTCCTGTTAATAGCTGCTGCAACAGTGGGGAACTAGACATAAAAGGCTGTACCTGATCATATAACAATTAACTTGATTACTTCTTTTTTGATAAATTAATCCTCCACATTGTGAGCACAAAACTGTCATGCTTATAACCCATTACAAAAACTGCGGAAAGAAAAACATTCAACGTGCTTTTCCAAAGAGAAGTGCCTTCCTATACAAAACACCCACTGAGTGGGTCAAGTGTCCTTCAAAGTTGGGAAATGCTCATGTGAAAAGAAATACAGAAATTATTTTAATGTCTGCCAACTGCAGCAGCAAAGCTGTCCAAAGACCTCCTCAGGTTTGTGTTTGATATGAGCACCTGATTAAATCAATTCCAAGTGCCACAAGCTCAGGGTACCAAGTGCCACAAGCTCAGGGTACCGATAAGAATTTAATTAGCATACCACTAGCTGATTAAAAAAAAAAAAGTATCACATATAAAAGCCAGTATTACATATAACTACTCCAGGCAGTCATATCCCATTGACATCAGTATCTGATAAAAATAAGTAACTCCGAAAGTTTGCAGTCATGTGCACTATGCTAAACAACATTCATACAGCTGAAGACAGTCCCGCCCAAGAGCCCTTAATCAGTATTAAACAACAACAACAAAAAATTATAAGACAAATAATTTAAGACACAATTGGCAAGGTCATGATATTAACTGTATCACATTGTTACAGACATGTTCTACTGCACAATTAGGTGGCTCCAACAACTTCATAATAGAAACAATACTAGTAACAAACTTTCTGCCACCAGTAGAAAGTATATTCACGAAAAGCAGGTTTATGCCAGAAAGACAAAGTTAATCTACTGGAAAATGGAAATGCCTCACTGTTCAGTATGATGAATTCACAGCACCTACTTTTGACCACTAATAGATATGAAAAGTCAGATTTTAAAAACTAAATGCAGTTCTGGATTATTAACAGGCCCAGAAAACCCATACCATCAGCAGAACTGGGATCTTAGACATGATCTGTTCATCTCTAGAAAAAAACCACACTTTTAGAAGGTTGCATGGATTGCTCAAGTCTTATACAACAGAACTTGGGAATGCTGGATCCCCCAGATTTATAACTTGAAGAAGCAAACACACAGTCGGTATTCTTACCTAGAACAGTAGTCATTAATACCATGTAATTAAAATAATCCAAATGAAAACATTGAAACTTATGTACATTTAAAATACATGTTCTTGTTACTTACCAACTCCCATAAACTAATAAATCTTTGTATTTATATTTGACTTTTCATGAGTACAGCATGAAGTATTCTGACCAGCTTGAACTAGAATCAATATATCATATAATCTCTACTTTAACACAAGAAAACCTCAAACTAGTACCAAATTATAACCCAGCACATAACTAGATATCATTAAAGACACCATTCAAAAGAACTATCCTGTAAGTTAAAGCTGCAAACAACACATACAAGTAAATGGAATTCCTTCTGCTGACTTTTATGGCATCTATATCAAATGTACAGATTTTTTTTTACATTAAACATGTCCTGTAGTAAACACATACCTGTTCAACCCAATTCTCAACTTACCTCTAACATTTTAATTACAGTTTTCACATAGAAATGAGATATCCCCAATGACACTCTAAACATTGAAGGCAACAAAACTAACACCACAAACAAAATCATCCAGATAGACAAAATCTTGCCCTCTGCAAGGCCATAGCCCTCTCTATTTTCTTCCATGCTTACTTCTTCAAAATGGAAACCTGATGTCTTTCTGAGATCATACACCCATCTGTAGTAGAGAATCCAGCAAGCTTCAAGAGACAGAGCCAAATAAAAAATACATGTTCTGGCAGGCAAAGCTATCTCTAGAAAAAGGCTGCTACGCTCTGAAGCCTGACACCACAGATGCTTTCAATGATAATGTAATTTCTGTCCCTTGTCCCGCCCTAACGCCACCCACTTCCTTTTAATTGATAAGCATTTACTCACCAGATATAATACAGAGGAGAAGAAAGAAAAAACATGATTAGTAATAATATATGTTAGGTAATAAGATACTGCCAATAATGAAACTTGTCAATGTGTTAACTAGTTTTCACAAGGTGTGCCACCAATAAATTACAATACAGAACCAAGTAGGTGTGGTTTTCAGACTGCCTAAAATCTTTTCTTCTAAAACATTTAATACACATGAAGCACTTCTCTAACTAACATTTGTTCAAACTAGCGACTTGTTTAGTCAGATTTTCCACTTCATGGTGAAATGACTGCTTGTTTTGGTATTTGACCAAAGGAACCAAACTGAAGGCTGAGGTACAAGTCAGAATTTTTATTTTATTTTTTAATAACACCTGTGAAATGGAGATGCAAATTTCAGCAGGCAGGAATTGACGTTACCATAAAACCTGCTCCCTCCACTGCCCAACAAGAAATTAGTTAAGTTGTATTACAGAGTTACAAAGTGCACTGTGGTGAAACACTGTCACCCACCTTTGCATCTATTTGACTACATTATTTAAATACAGTAGATAAGCAGGTTTCTCCTTCTATCCTATCAAATATCAATAACTTAATTCAGTATTTTTTAGGAAAGACCCAGTCCAGTCCCTTACATCAACCACTCTCCTGCCTTTTAGGATGCATCACAGAAGAAACACAGGTGAATAACTGTATCTCTAGAACCCAAGAGAAGCCCACCAGCTGCTCATTTATAACTTTATCACAGAATAAATGAACCTTGGTGGAATGAGCACTTAGGGCATAACTTCCAAGATAGTGACATGCTGGTTCACAAATGAACTTTCCTTTGCACTCGCTTATATTAGCATGTTTGTCTAAAGCTGGGGCTGTTGCTTTAAAATATCCCCACCTCCAGGTACTGTTGCTTGGTTTGTGTTGTGGAGCAGCCTCGGTACATGGAAACTAGATTCCTTAAAAGTGAAGGCAGACCCAAAGATCATCTGTAGAAAGTGCACCCAATACTCTCCAGTCAGTAACAGAAGCATGGATATGACAGCGGGCTGCATCACCACTAAGTCCTCTAGTTTATACTATGCATCCAGGCAGCAACAAGAAGGCTCTTGACATGTCACAAGCTCTCGTGATACCATGACATGCTTCTTGTGCCACATAATGAGTCAACTAGCTTTTCTATCTTCAGATTTGCTGCTGAATGCCATCCCTCAGGTCTTTGTAATTACACTGCATCTTCTTCAGCAATCTAACTTTTCTTTTGCATTTTCTTTTCATAATTTACCTACATTACCTTCTGTACCCTTGGTGACCTCTTTCTGAGCCTTCTGTATCTTCTACAAAACCTTGCTGATTTGTTTTTTAATTGTTTCATAGAATCATAGAGTGATTTGGGTTGGAAAGGACCTCATAGATCGTCCAGTTCCAACCCCCCTGCCATGGGGGCAGGAACACGTTCCACTAGACCAGGTTGCTCAAAGCCCCATCCAGCCTGGCTCTGAACGCTTCCAGGGAGGGGGCATCCACAACTTCTCTGGGCAACCTGTTCCAGCATCTCACCACCATCATAGTAAAGAATTTCTTCCTTATATCTAATCTAAATCTACTCTCTTTTAGTTTAAAGCCATTACCCCTTGTCCTGTCACTACATGCCCTTGTAAAAAGTCCCTCTCCAGCTTTCTTGTAGGCCCCCTTCAGGTACTGGAAGGCCACAATAATGTCTCTCTGGAGCCTTCTTGTCTCCAAGCTGAACAACCCCAACTCTCTCAGACTTTTCCTCATAGAGGAGGTATTCTAGCCCTCTGATCATTTTTGTCATCCTCCTTTGGACCCACTCCAACAGCTGCATGTCTTTCCTGTGCTGGACCTATGTTTTCATCATACATATACAGACATATAAATATTAGTTCTCATGAGTACCAGATCTTCTCATATTTATGCCAAGATATCTGCCCTAGCAAAGGCCATAGGATGCTTGTGTGTAGGCTCTGCTCATTATTAAGGAAACAATGACCCAATCAACTTATGTCCTCATCTGCTATTAAGGCTTCCCACCTACAGCAGATAAGGATACATCCTTCTGCTTCAGGATAAACTCTTGCTAAACCGTTTATTTCCCTCTTACTGACATGCGCAGCTATTTAAGTCACCATAAAGCTTGATCTCAAATAGTCTTCACCATGATAAAACATATTGTGTGTGCCAACAACATTGACTAGTTTTTTGCCATCTTTAAGTTTTGTGTGCTCTCTACCAGCTCCTTCTGTAGCTATTGAAGTTTAAGTTAATAACAAAAAAGGGACACTTTATCACAGAGTAATTAGGATATTTTAGTTCTCCTTAGTTGACTTTTTTTACCAGTCATCTTAAAAGAAAAGAGAGAAAGCAGAATAGGCAGTGATGTAATATTTTAAATGCCATGCAAACCATCTGTTATAACACCATAACTACCTCCTTCCCCCCACATGTCACCTTGTCTATATTTTCCAATTAGTCCTTAGGAAAGGTAAACTGATAAATCATCTGTCTCAATCTTTTGCAACACATGGAGAGTCATCCAGAATTGGGGGGCCAGGGGATGTCCTGAAAACAGCATCCCACACACTGAGAAATGAAAGAATATACAGCACAGAAACAAGAATGTTGCAAAAGAAAGTGAAGGCAGACATGTGGAAAGCTTGACCTAGTTAGAATGTACTGCTGGTCCTCACCCCTTCCCCAATATTCTTTAGGATAGTTGTATGGTATGAGGGAGGAAAAGAGTAAAAATATCACCTAGCAGGACCTGCGGCTGCACCTCATCAGGTCCCATGGACTTGTGCACCTTCAGGTTCCTTAGATGGCCTTGAACCTGATCTCATACAGTGGGGTGTTCTTCATTCTCTCAGTCCCTGTCTGTGCCTCCTGCAACTTGGGCAGTGTGACTAGAACACGTGCCCTTGAAGACCGAGGCAAAAAAGTCATTGAGTACCTCAGCCTTCTTCATATCCTGGGCAACCAGGTCTTCCATTTCCTTCCAGAGAGGGCCCACATATTCCCTAGCCTTCCTTTTACACCAGTGTACCTACAGAAGCTTTTTTCGTTGCCCTGATGTCCCTGGCCAGATTTAATTCTATCAGGACTTTAGCTTTCCTAACCTGATCCCCGGCTGCTCAGACAATTTTTCTGTATTCCTCCCAGGCTACCTGTCCTTGTTTCCACCCTCTGTAGGCTACCTTTTTGTGCTTGACTTTGTCCAGGACCTCCCTGTTCATCCATGCAGACCTCCTGCTATTTTTGCCCAACTTCTTCTTTGTTGGGATGCATTGTTCCTGAGCTTGGAGGAGGTGATCTTCAAATATGAACCAGCTTTCTTAGGCCCCTCTTCCCTCCAGGGCTTTATCCCATGGTGTGGGAATCGGCTGGGCCGCGGGCAGCCTTGATGATCATTGGGCTAATTATTTTGTGCACCTGTGGTTGAAAAACAGGAGGAAAGGAATGAAGAAACAGCATGGGAAAATTCAACTCTTTGATAAGCATAAAGGTCATGTGAACAGACGCATGATGACCAATCAGAAGAACAAAGGAGCTGCATGCCAAAAGACCCTCACCAATGAGACTCTGGGGGTGGGGGAAAAGGGGATATAAAAATGCTATGATTAACCAATAAACTGCTTCTGCTTCTGTTTGCTTTTGCTTGCTTTGTGACTGCTGTAATTTATTGTGGCATGCTGCCACATCATGCTACTCTACAGAGCAGGTCCCTGAAGAGGCCAAAGTCTGCTCTCCTGAAGTCTGGGGTAGTGAGCTTGCTGTGCATCCTCCTCACTGCCCTAAGGATCTTGAACTCCACCATTTCATAGTCACTTCAGGCAAGGCTGCCCTTGAGCTTCACATTCCCCACCAGCCCTTCCTTGTTGGTGAGAACAAGGTTCAGCATAGCATGTCTCCTCGTGGGCTCCTCTGTCTCTTGGAGAAGGAAGTTCTCATCAACACAGTCCAGGAGTCTCCTGGATTGCTTACGCCCTGGTGTGTTGTCCCTCCAACACATATCAGGGTGGGTGAAACTTCCCCTGAGGACCAGGGCTTGTGAATGGGAGGCTGCTCCTATCTGCCTATAGAGGGCCTTGTCCGCTCAGTCTTCCTGGTCGAGTGGCCTGTAGCAGACCACCACTACAATCTCTGCAGTCAATGCCATGCCTTTAATCCTGACCCGTAACCTCTCAGTTGGCTCCTCATCCATCCCCAGGCAGGTTTCTGCCTTACCATTGCTCTTTCTCTTAGTGGCAACCTCAAACCCCTCACTATCCCATCACACTACTGCTGCCAGGCACACCATTACCCACTATTTCTCACCTCCTCACCAAAAGGCTCTAGTTCTAGGCTTCTCTAGGAACAACGTTTCATTATTGCTAAAATAGCTTTGCTTACCCATTTCTGTTTAGCTACCATTCCTTACGTTCTGATATCTGGTATCTTCCTGAAGTGGCTTGCCCTGGTAACACACAGTCCCTAGGGTGGCATACGATGGAGAGCTGAATGAGTGGGCATTGATCCTCTGGTACAACGCAGCACATCTCTGCGTAGCTACCTTCAACCTTGGCACAGGGGATCTGTATGCATATTGTCTGGGTGCTAAAAATTTTGTGGGCAGGAGGGTGGAGGTAGTCTCTGGGACCTGATTTGAGGCAGGAAAGGCGGGCGAAATGAAGTGCTGACAGCACAACAGGAAGTAACAGGAAGGTGTGATGACTCTCTTAATAGGTTGCCTCAGCAATAAGCTTAGG